ATGGTACATTGTTGTTTTTTTTTTTTTTTTTGGGGGGGGGGGGGAAAGTTGCCCATGGGAACAAATATTTGAAGATAAACTAGAATTTTAGTTGCCCATCCTCTCTTCTGACCATAATTTTAAAAGGAAGGAAACAAGAATAAGGGTCTGTAGAGATCCTTTGCAATTGCAAAGGAGTTTTTTTTTAAATTTTCAAAATAGAAAATTTGATATTTCTCATAATTATATTAGGAAATAAAAATAATATTTTAATTTTGAGATGTGAAGCTTCTCATAAGCTCTTTAAGAAGCCCTCTTGCTTTGACTAGATATGACCAGGATGTCTAGATAAAATATGGATTTGTTGCAAAGAGCTAAATGCTAAAGACTGTAACATATTACTTGAGTCAGCACATTCCTCCTTGAAATCCAGTGCTCAGAACTTTCATAATTTAATAATGTACATGTTCGTATTCTATCCTAACTCCTCATTAAGTAAGGCCTGTGCACTGACTCAAGTTTTCTCATGCTTTCCAGTATCAGTATTCCCTCCAGTTTCTTTCTGGTCTAAACCACACATTTAGCATTTAGGCACAGGACAGTGCAGCTGGAAGTCTTGCCTGGTTCCATAATGACAAATTATTGCAGTCTTTTGCTTTCAAAGTTTACCTTTTCTCAAGAATGTTGGCACTGATAGAAGGAGGATGTTATACTGCAAAAAAGCCCAAACCATTACCTCTTGTGAAATATTTTAACAAACTTCCTTTAATCACCAGCACCTGAGAGGAGGGTGTAATATTTTGACTTCATTTTGTTTTCAACTGATTACAGACGGACATAACTTTCCCCTGCAGGAACTGACCTTGTACCAGTGACATCAATGGAAACATTGCCATTGACATTATTGGGAATTGGATCAGATGCACAGTTTGCACCAGTCATGTGATAGCTGTAGATAATGATATTTTTCTTATCACATTTAGTACTTTTAAGACTAAAGTAGATGTTAAGATTTCAGTTGTTTCTTACAATGGATGTGGTGAGCCAGTATTGAAATATGATGATCAATAATTTTGTTCCTTTGAGGAAGTCTAGTCAGTGATTTTTTCTGAACTTAATTGGACTAGAAGAAAGCAATCTAGCAGAGCTGATAGCAATCAATGCAGTTAAAAATGAAACTGCATAAAAATGGCTGAATACATTTATGTAAATAGCTGTTTTTTTCACAGTCACAGTCTTCAAATGGCATGATTCTAGACTTAATAGCTATGTACTTTGACAAAACAGTTCAAGCAGCAAACCAAGAAATGCCTTTTTTTGACATGTGAGCTTTGAACAAATCATTGAAATGGTTTCTGAACTAAAGCAAGACCTATTTCTGGCATCAAGTTTCAGAACAACATCTGGAATACAGTTCAACATGAACTGCCTAATGCCTGCAGGTACTGAAAAAAAGTTATGCCAGACTTCAGTGCTGGAACCCAAGTGCTCTCCCATAAATTTTAAGAATATTTCAGCCTGATGCAGTGATATTATTAATTTAAGTTTCTTTGAGGATCTTGTTTTTTCAGCCAAGCACTTCTTTGTCAGTACCAAGGTACTAAATCCTTTCATTTTTACATCACCACATGCCCATTCATCCTTTTGCCTCTGGGTAATTATATTGCAATTCTCACTTTTCCACAAGACTATACTGGTATGTAAATATGAAATATTCTCTGTTAGTAATAAAAAAATGCATTCAAATTCAGCTCAGTTTTCTGTCCTGTTTTTTACCTTGTTATATTTGCATTGATAAGACTAACTGAATGAGTGATCCAATTGCCCACACAACTTGGCCATTTTTTTGAGTTGCACACTAGAAAGTTCTAAGATGGTATTTTTTCAGGTGAGTGCAACTATAGTTTTGTTGCTTCCCAGGAAAGATTTGGAAATAAAAAAATAAAATTAATCACTAAGTTATGCTGAAATAACTTTTTTAAGAAATAATTTTTATCACTTTATAAACATAAAAGGCTAATTTCTCCTTTCATCTTAAAATCTCTTCACTGCAATGGGAAGGTTCTGTACTTTGGATAACAATGACAACCCATTATTTTATGGAGGGGAAGTTGAAAACATTAAGACTTTCAAAAATTTTATTTATTTGCTGCCATTCTGTTTTCTCTCATTGTCTACTTGAAAATAATAAATTTTGCGAGAGGGGGAAGAATCGCATTTCCGTCCTTGCCTGAGAAAACTTTTGTAGACCACTGTTCTTCAAGCATCAGAAAAGCCTTGATATGAAAAAGATATTTAATTTTTACTGTCCAAAAAGCACTTATTAGTATTTTTTAGCCACTCTTCTGGTTTTGGTGCTGATTGGTGCAAGGTGCAGGTATGCTCAGGTATTTGTGCTCATTTTAAGAATGGTTTCACAGTGGCAAAAAGGAGCTACATTAATAGCATTTCTGTTGGGAAGATTGCGAACATTTAGAGAAAATACAGATTAAACTCTGCTCTTAAAACTGAATGAACAAATTCTCCCCACTGGAAGGTGAAAAATGAGTTTTGCTATTATTTTCATAGGTGATATATATCTTACTATTTTTCTGAAGCAAATTTTTCTTAATTCATCATTTATGAGTCTGCATACCTCTGCACACTTTTTAAAAATAAATTATTTTACATTTTAGATTTAAGATGTTGTAACTGTATTTTAATGACATTTTGCACTACTTTGACTATACTACTTTTGCCAAATACACTGTTGAACATTTACAAGCATAATATGAAGTAGCATCCTAACAAAATTATACTTCTCAAAGAAATTAATAAAGTACATTTTAGGATACATTACTTTGTTTTTAATTGCATTTGCTCACTATGTACTGCATAAAATCAGAAAATATAGAAATATATGATGGAACTTCCAGCCAGTGTGAATTACTACATTTTTACTGTACACATTTTATGAGATTTTGCTATTATTGTTGTTTTTTGAAACTTAGATATTAAAGGCTTTGGTAATAACAGGGAAAATATGTTAATATCTAGATTTCCTTTAGAATACAATTTAGCTTATTTTCTGGTCATGGACAAAGTGCCATGTTCCTTATCTTGTCATATCTTAAAACACATAAATTCAAGAGTTTGATCTTGATCAACTTAATATTATGGATATATAATGTTTAAGTGCAATAATGGATATATGTTGTCATAAGTAATAAAAGAAGAGTTTGAAAGATACTGTTTGTTGGAAGGCAAGATCTAGTCTGTAAGACCATTCTTTTATGTTCCTAATTCTATGATCTTAATTTTTTACACATTAACATTAAACACCTGTGATTATAAAATAAAATGCTAGAAACTATTCAGCAGAAAGCCTGAGTGAACATGTGTCTAATTCCAACAAATTGGTTTTCTGATTTTAAGTATGATTCCTATGAGCATGAATGAATTTCTCAGAATACTGGGAGCAAATATGCTAAAAAAATGTGACAAGCTGATGAATATTCTTGTTCAAGGAATATGGTTGGTTTTGGATGGTTTTTTTTGTTCTTTTTTTTTTTTTTTTTTTTACTGGCAAGAAGATAACTGGTTACTTGTAGATGTGATAACAGAATGTTTACCAGTTTTTGAGACTCTGCCATTTGATAGCAACTTCTCCATCAGAACTGTATGTAAATGAAATAACTAATTCATTAAAAGTTAATATTGAAAATTTAAGCAAGTGATTAAAATTCATAGAGTTAAACTATCACCAATGCAAAATTATTCAGTTGGAACTACACAGTCCCAGTATAAAAGACTGGAAGTATCCCGAATGGGACACTAACCAAAGCAAAATGCCTTCTCTGGATGTGCAGATTCAGAGTTCTTAACCAGCTTTTGGCCCATGGTCCTTTCTCTTCCTAAACAGAATTTTTGTTTAAAAACTTTGAATTTTCAAGTTAGGAACTCAGTGAAGCCCATTTGCCTTGTGCGTGTAAAAGTTCCCTTGTGCAGGGCAGAGCATAAAATAGGTAGTTTAGTATCTATGAAATGACATATTGCTCTGTGCAATGTAAACAACAGATGATTGTAAGAAGATAATTGTGATCCATAGTGATGCTGTTCTTACTAGCCAGAGACAAGCATATTCATTAACCTTGAAAAAGCACTGCTAAATGACATCTTGAATTTGTCTGCCAATATGGTCTACAATTATCAAATCAATTGGCTTTACAGAAAATCAGTTCCTATTCTTCTACATGTCTCTTTTCTGTTGGCACTACCTGCGCAATTTTGGTCTTGCCAAATCCTTCTTTGATGGGGGAGCTCCCTATATTTTATAAAGCCAGTATTTTCAAAAAATGGCCTGAAAACAAGGATCTCAAAATAAAGAAAACAATATTAAAAAATAAAAACTTAGTTCAATATTCAGATGCGCAATTCCTAGCATCAGTTGCTATTTTGCATAGTTAATTCCTGTATATGGAGAATGAAAACTTCATTAATGACCTGGAAAATAATGAGGTTGAATAGAAAGGATTTGCCCCTCCTAAACAGAATTGTAAACAATTGCAACTGTTTCTTAGAATGATAATTTTATACTTTCATGACAGGATGTACAGCTAATTAAACCTGTTACTATACATATGCATATATTTATTGCAAATTAAACTCTGCATATATTTTACATATAAACTAATTAATAGACAATGAAAGTGAATACTATTCATTGTCTCATAGCAATGGATACCATTGCTGTTATTCAAGGAAATTAGTTATAATATCAGATAGTCATTACTGAAGTTGTGTGCTGCTATAAACATTCATCCATGAATGAACTCTTAAATGGTTGTAATATATTTACTTACTCACTCTCTCGTTTAAAATCCTATTTGATGTACAATATTGAGAAGAAAATCATGAAACATATCCTTGTTATTTTAGTCATTGTCTTTGGAGAAAGTTCAGCTGGGGTAATAGAATTCTTTTATTTTGTTCTGTAAATGCCAATCTCAGATCAAAGAGTTTATTTGAGAACTTTTGATGGAGTATGATTTTTTTCTTCCTGATTAATCTTTGAATATCTTTTGAAAAGGCATTTAACACTCATATTGAAATTTTTTGACTTCCCTTGACTGCTATCAGAAACCTGACTGCCCTCCATGGTGCTCAGTCAGCATTTTCAGATTCAGCACTTTCTGTCATTGATTGATAGAAGACACTTCTTCCCCAGTTACTGAGTCAGACACATCAGGGAGAGACAGACAGGCTGCAGGAGAAAATTTAATCAAGTAGAGGTAATTTGCAAAAGATTTTAGTATTGAAATCTACTTATGAAAAATATAAAACTTTAAAATACTGTGTAGTTGATAGCAGGTATTTAGCACATAAATTTAAATGAGACTACACCTTTTTAAGAATGATCACACAGTCTACAAAACAAAACAGGAAACCACAGGGACTGGATTTGTTGTCATTATATTAAAAATTAATTTTGGTTTTACCTTATTGTAACTAAGGATGCCAACAGTGAATTTAGTACACAGTACCCATTCTTCTCCTTGTGCATGGCTTTTAATAAATGAGTTAATGAACTTCATCCAGGTTCTAGCAGAAGCATGTTTCATCAACCCAGTGGTACAACACAAAAATGTAGGTAAGAACCTGTGATAGAACTCCTGTCTCAATGTAAAGGATGCATTTCATAGAAAAGGTGATTTCAGGGTTTGCACCTATCTCCCTGGGGAAAGGGAGAGGGAAAGAAAAGAGCCAATGATGACCGCAGCTAAATTATTAGTGCCAAGCTACTACGGTTCTGCAAACACCAACCCTTAACAGATCATTGAAAAAAAGTTCTTTGAGGTAAACTCTAAATTAAATTGCATTCTAAAACTTAAAAAGATTTGCATTTATCCACTATATTGGTTAGAAAATAGTATTATACTTTCTCAAACATATGCTTGGCAGAGGAAACTTCCCAGTCCTGTCTAATATGCACTATTAAATGGTATAGTCTTCTCATTTCATAGGCCAAAATATTTTCTTAGGTGTAACTATAGTGGGTGACATTTTTACAGTTATTGACATTTTTACATGACTTATCAAGGAAAGCATTGAGAGAATCAAGAATTAAAACCAATTAATTTTTCTGTGAGAATGTGGGAAATACTGAGGTTTTTTTTAATTTAGTAATGTAAAATTCTTGAAAACTATTTCTGTTGTTCCATTTTCTCCCTATCCAAGATCAATATGGAATTCAGAACTGCTTTAATTTTATTAATATTTCTGTTATAATACCTTGAGACCACAAGACAAGCAGTGAGTTTTTGGCAAAAAAATTGAAGTCTTGGTTGATGCTTAATTCTTTGTGGATACAGGCTTGTTGGCTGTGTTTAGATTGACAAATGGCTTTAAGGTAATACTTCCACTTTTCAAATAGCTCTCAGAAGATATATGCATGTAGATCTGCCAAAAAAAATCTATATTTGTCTTGTTTTATGTTGGCAATATGACTCCCAATTATTTTTAAAATGTCCATTATAGCATGTTTCCAAAGGACTTTGAAATATGTTATCTATCTTCAAGGCAGTGCCTTCATAGACATGTTCAAGTTAATATTTTGGAAACTGCACAGAGAAAAGGGAAATTAACTCTTTGTGTTCTTCTAAAAATCCATATAGGACACTTACTAAGAGGGTAGATGCTTGAAGTAAACCAGCAGAGAAGAGTTTGGCATAGTTTTACATGACAGACAAAAATAGGTTAGGCTAAATTGCCAGATTCTTTGTCTTTCAAAGAACTAAGTCTGCCAGATTCAGCATGAATGCAGAGATTTGTCATCACTAAGAACTTTTCAGGAACAGGATTTAAGATTACAGAGGGTCAGATTCTGTTGATTCTCTCTGATTATTGTCAGCACTTTCCTGAATCTATGTGAAATGCTTACTATCCATGAACATTAATGTTAATGTTCCTAGAACCTGTTCTGACTTACATTTTCATAATCCTTCTGTACCTGTAGATTATTTAGATGCAGTGAAGTATGTTCATCAGCAAGTACAGTCTTGTCACTTAGCCAAGTGTGCTACGAGGTCCTTTGGCAGCATGGTAGATTTCAGATGAAAGTTGTTGAGAAAAAAAGGCAAGACAGAAAAACCCACACGGTAATACAAATATACTTCTTATAAACACATTTGCATTAAAATGCACAATAAACTCAAACCACAATAGGCATAAAATGCAGCAAAATACTCAACAACAAAATCAATAAAAACAAACAAGCTAAGCAACAAAACGAGTAAACAACAATTACAGCATTTAACAAGCAGGGATAGATAGTCTGCATTCCTAAGCTTTATATTAGGCAATGATAATTTGAGTTTTTGTATTCATTCATCTTCCTGCCCCTTCCAATTTTGGGGCAGAATTGCACATTACATTAAAATTTATCTTGTGAGATAGCACGTACTACGTGGATTTTTAAAAAGAAAATAATGGATAACCTTATTTTATCTCTTTGAGTTTTTATCTTTCCAAGTAAAATCATGGACCAAAATGGACCAAAATCATGACCATATGCTTCATATAAATGCTTTCAGATGATGATTGCTCCGAGTCTCTTCAAATCAGCTCATTAACTGTACTGTATCTCCCCCTCCATATCGAATGTAACACCATTTTTTAATCTTTAATATTTGAAACACAGTAAAGTGTAAGGGATTGTATTTTCCAAATGTATGGAATCAGGATATACTGGTCATTTAGATTAAATCTGGTGATGTAAGCTTGGTCTTTCTGAGGTGCCTTGGTACTGAAAACATTCTCATCAATATTACTCACTGGTCTTGTGTCACAGCATCCTGTCTCTCCACTTCATAAAGCTGTAGGGTCCTGCCAGTTTCTTGACACTGTCTGCGAACAAAGCAGGAGGAAAAGGATAGATCCAAGTGCAAGAATCATGGAGATAAATATCACACAGATATGCTTCAAGTGGCATAACAAGTTTCATATATTATTTTATCTTCATGTTTGTCATCAAATGACTTTGACATACATAAAGTAAAGCTGGCATGAGTAATTTAGATTTATTATTTTTCACCTTTAGTGTCTAATTATACAAACTTTATTCGGCAGACTGGATGGGAAAATGTAGATTTATCTTTCAGCTAAAAAAAATGTGATAAACTGATAAAAAAGTGCAGTGGTTGGTACCAGAAATTGCAGTGGATACTGAATGTTGTTTTCTATCTTCTGTATCTTAAAAGTTTTGTTCAAAATTCAACTAAATTTATTCAATTCAAATCTACATGTTGACTTATTTTCCTGGTATTGCGTTAAAATAATAGTTGGAAATTTTCAAATTGCATCACTTTACCTACAAGGTCTTAAGAAATTACCCATATAAGGCCATTATCTGTGGCCTGATTATTGATCCCATTGACATGAAAATAAAACTTAGCTAAGGGGTCATTTATCAATGTGATGAGTGACACTGGTTTCCTATGACATCATGTTGTGAATGTTTCTTGTAGAAAAAACATAAACTGACATGAAAGATTTGCTTAGATACCTTTATAATAACTTTTCACTTTACTTTGCACTTTTATTTTCAGTGAAAAATACTTCCTGTTATTTTCATGGTGCTTTGTCACAATATTAATCAATAGTTTTCCATTCTTGTATTTTTTCCATTTATATCTTAGTTGTTTTTCTTCCTCAAGTAGGGATAATGAAGATATAGAAGTTATTACATTTTTTTTATTTTTCTTTGCAGTTCATTATGATCCCTTTGAATTCTAAATTTGACCTTCAGAATTGTTCCAATTCTCTCCAGCTTGCTATTAGAAATAAACATTGTGTTCTCTTTCTTTGTCAAGTTTAGTAAATAATGGCTGAATAAAAACAGCTTGACAATCAGTAGGAATATGGGTTGTGTGTTAACTACATTAATAGGTTATTTGGTATGTATCTGGTATTGTATATCAAGGATGTTTCTGATTTCATATTGCTTTATGTGATAGAATCATAGACTGGTTTGTGTTGGAACTTAAATGTCTTGCAGTTCCAATCCCCTGCCCTGGGCAGGGCCATCTTCTGCTAGAGCAGATTGCTCAGAGCCCTGTCCAACCTGACCTTGAACACTCCCAGGGATGGGGCAGCCACAGCTTCCCTAGGAAATCTTCCTTTCTCACCTTAAAGCCGTTCCCCCATGTCCTATCACAACGAGCCCCAATAAAAAGTCCCTCTCCAGCTTTAAGTACTGGATAGCTGCCATAAGGTGCATCTGGGTCCCTCTCTGTGTCTTCCCTGTGATCATTTCAGGGCCCTTCTCTTGACTTTCTCCATCAGGTCCATGTCCTTAGTATGCTGGGGGCCGCACAGCTATAAGGAAATATTCAAGATGTGCTATTGTGTCAGTATCAAGATGCGTTTATGACTGCAAACACTGAGGCAGTGAAACAAAATATTTTCAGGAGTTCAGTGGGAACTTATAAATTAACTATGTATCATATCTTTGATTTATGCAGGATTTTAAATGTTTGAATAACAAAACAATGCTACAGTTAGCCTTAAATTATTTTTAAAAGCCTTTTTATTGCTACTTATATGCTTCTTTAAAGTAGTGAGCTGTCAAAAAGCTCAGCAGTTTGTGTCTTGTCACAGATTTGATATGATTTAGGTAAAAGTTGTCATTTTGAGAGTTAAGAATGCTTTTATTCTCCATGTGTTTCAAACTTTACCTCTAGAACTGCAGATTTGGATTTAAAATTATTTTTATGGAGCTGACATTGTAGTTTACAGAATTTTTGTACATATTTTTCTTGTCATGTAGAAGATATCCATGTTCAGCAGCAACTAGGATCATGAGCATATAAAATAAAGTAAGATCTACCCAATAAAATCTGTGGAATGTATTAACACTGCTGCTGAGTTTAAGATTTTGGGTCTAACTTTCCCTAGGCAGATGTGTTTTGAAGAAGAATTTAAAAATAACATCTCTATCTGAACAAAAAGGAGGATTTACTAAGGGTTATCATAATTTCTTAATATCATAAACAATAATCAGACAACACGTATTTTTTAAAAGGAAAACAAGTAATTTTAAAAGGTCATATTTCCTCTGAAAATAGAGTGTCTCACTCTTAAAATTGTCTGTTAAGGAAAGACTGACTTGAGATATAAGTAATGTGGGGCATTTACCTGTCATTCTCCCTAAATTACATGGGCAGGCTCAGTAAATAGCAACTCTTTCCTGATATATAATGCAGTTCAACCAGTTACTACTTGAAACTTGCTTTTTCTTAGAGGAACTTCTAGGTTTTCTTCTAGTTAGGTCAGAAGACAGTAGATTATATTTATAAAGAGATAAAAGGACATGTCCTCTGAATTGCTGTCTCTTTGTTTATCGTTTTAGTAAGACTACAGCAATATTTAGTGAATCCAATATGAACCCATGCTTAAGCAGATGAAACATTAAGGTGCAATGTGAGAAAGTTCGCTTTAAAAAAGTTTAACTTTTATGTGAGTTCAGCATGGTTATACTGAACTATATGATAATAACATATGCATATTCATTTAACATATACATATTCAGTATATGGTAGCTCAGTAGGTAAAGATGCCTCTAAAGTATGGGTTCAGAAATATTTTAGGAGAAGTTAAAAAACAGTCCTTTGGCTTGAGATAGTTTATCAGAACTTGAGCTAAAGGGTAGTTTTATTCTCAAAGTTGTCAGATTGTCATAATCAGATCCATTGTTTAAATATCTAAACAAAACAAACAAAACATCCATCAAAAATCTTTTGACTAGTGTCATTGTAGTGTCTCCAAAAGAAATGCTTTATCTTCATGTATTTTGTCAAAAGGGAATTGCAAATATTATAGAAGGATGATTAATTAAATAATGAATGTTCAATAGTTAATATTCATTATTGATTCCAAGTTATAAAGCAAAGGTTGGTAGTAATACAGTTACTAATTATATTCTAATTAATAATTTCAACCTTGTAACATTTTAAAAATAACTAGGCAAATCATCAGTAACCAATCTACATTTTAGTTATGATTCCAGGCTTCATTATATTCAGTAATAATTCCTGTGTGGCCATAAGCCTCTGCAAATTTGACCTGAGATTTCAGCTGAAATTTTTTCAGCTTTATGCATATTTAAATATTTCATTTTAAGAATAAATTATCCTTGCATTGGATAAAATTGTAATTATCCATAATCTTTTGAAGTTAATCTAAAATCCTTAAAATAGAACTACTTTAGGTCCAATTTAAAGTAAAGCATAGATTAATAATCTTCATTTCAAGGAAAAAAACCTAAAGTACAGCACTGTGTCTACCTCTTGTTTCAGTATATATATTTTTGGAGTGATTAATTGAGGATATATTCTTGGAAGATATGATATTTCATATGCAGTATTGTATTTTAAACATTTCAAGTATGGTAGAAGTATGAAAGCTTAATATCACTGTGGAGCTTCCCTTTGCCATTGTAAGCTTGCCATCAGGTACCAGAGTCATCTTTTCAATTCAAAAGGAACTTTTTCTAGAGAAACACATAATCAGAAAATGATTGGCATTGGGAGGGACCTCTGAAGATGATCTAGTCCGAAAAAGTCAGGTTCAGCAGGTTGCACAGGGCCATGTCTAGGTAGGTTTTGAATATCTCCAGAGAAAATGACAGAACCTCACTGGACAGTCTGCTCCAGTGTTCTGTCAGCTGCAAAATGAAGAATTTTTCCTCATATCCAGATTCCTATGTCTCAGTTTGTGCTGTTGCCTTTTGTCTGTCACTGACATGAGTCTGGCCTGGTCTTCTTGACACCTACCCTTCAGTTACTTGTACATTGATAAGCTATTCTCCTTTATCAATTTCAAAAGTTTTTAAAAATTTGGGGCATTTTTGAGTACATATAAATAGTGAAAAGAAACCCTACTTGCAGCATTATTCTGCTGATGTCTATTTTATAACTTCTTCCATTACAAAATCTCCATTTTTTCCCTTTCAGTGATCACACTTCTGAAAACCCCAGATTTATGTTTATTTTTGCCATAAGAATTTATGTTCTGTTGTTAGGATTAGAGTAAGGACACTCATTACACCTTAGTTTCAGCTACAAAAAACCCACTATAATTATCATTGTGTGCAGTTCTCTCTGGTCCTCCAAGGGTTTTTCTATAATGTGGTTGAAGTACATTGCATTTAATGAATACCCTAGTCTTTCAGAGTGTCATCTAAGATGGATTTAATGCAAGTTGTAGGCTTTCATTTGGTTATTCAAATAGCTTTTTATGTTGTACTGACATACTGCATTGAAAAGTAGAATGAGACTCATAAAAATGGGATTATTCTGTTGCATTGCTTATGCTAGTTATCACAGTCAAAACCTGGTAAATAAGTTTAGTATATTTGCTATTTTATAACATTATTTAAAATCCCTGTGCTCTTTGGCATGTTTAAGCTTTGAAAACTCAGTGCAATCATTTTATTTCATGGAATATTAGATACTATTGTGGAAATATACAGCACAGAATACAGTACCTTCTGTGTAGTGTATTCTTATGTGTGCATCCTAGAAAGTTCTAACTTATCAAGTGTGCTTGCTCTAAATATTATATTTCTATAAAGAAAAAAAAAAGAGTCCAAATGTAATATTGCCTAAGGACACTGGAGTCATTAAGAATATTTTTTAAACTGTGGAAGTTCTACAACAGATTAAAAGGAAAAACAAAAAAGAAAAAAGGAAAACAAATGCACCTAGGTCTAAAGCTTTGATTTGGAGTCCTCTTTAGAGAGTGCCTAACTCATACCTTAATTAATTTGTCTTATTTTAAATTAATTTGTTCTCTCCATTTATAAGTAAATATGCCTCTGAAGACTTTGTGTAGAATTTTTCTAAATT